ACTGTAACTGTTCCATGTTCTTAGTACTTTAACACTTGCAACACGTCTATACTGTAACTGTTCCATGTTCTTAGTACTTTAACACTTGCAACACGTCTATACTGTAACTGTTCCATGTCCTCAGTACTTCAACACTTGCAACACGTCTCTACTGTAACTGTTCCATGTCCTTAGTACTTTAACACTTGCAACACGTCTATACTGTAACTGTTCCATGTCCTCAGTACTTTAACACTTGCAACACGTCTATACTGTAACTGTTCCTTGTCCTTAGTACTTTAACACTTGCAACATGTCTATACTGTAACTGTTCCTTGTCCTTAGTACTTTAACACTTGCAACACGTCTATACTGTAACTGTTCCATGTCCTTAGTACTTTAACACTGGCAACACGTCTCTATTGTAACTGTTCCTTGTCTTCAGAACTTTACCACTGGCAACATGTCTCTACTCTAACTGTTCCATGTCTTCAGTATTTTAACACTTGCAACATGTCTATACTGTAACTGTTCCATGTCCTTAGTACTTTAACACTTGCAACATGTCTCTACTGGCGTCTATACTGTAACTGTTCCATGTCCTTAGTACTTTAACACTTGCAACATGTCTACTGTAACTGTTCCATGTCCTTAGTACTTTAACACTGGCAACACGTCTCTACTGTAACTGTTCCTTGTCTTCAGAACTTTACCACTGGCAACATGTCTGTACTCTAACTGTTCCTTGTCTTCAGTATTTTAACACTTGCAACATGTCACTACTGTAACAGTTCCTTGTCTTCAGTACTTTAACACTTGCAACATAGACATGTTGCAAGTGTTAAATACTGAAGACAAGGAACAGTTAGAGTATAGACATGTTGCCAGTGGTAAAGTTCTGAAGACAAGGAACAGTTACAGTAGAGACGTGTTGCCAGTGTTAAAGTACTAAGGACATGGAAAAGTTACAGTAGAGACTTGTTGCAAGTGTTAAAATACTGAAGACATGGAACAGTTACAGTAGAGACGTGTTGCCAGTGTTAAAGTACAGAAGACATGGAACAGTTACAGTAAAGACAGGAGTTGCCAGTGTTAAAGTACTAAGGACATGGAACAGTTACAGTAGAGACGTGTTGCAAGTGTTAAAGTACTGAAGACATGGAACAGTTACAGTAGAGACAGGAGTTGCCAGTGTTAAAGTACTAAGGACATGGAAAAGTTACAGTAGAGACGTGTTGCAAGTGTTAAAATACTGAAGACATGGAACAGTTACAGTAAAGACAGGAGTTGCCAGTGTTAAAGTTCATGTTCTTATAATCCTAGTGAACATGTTATTACCATCTCCTCCTGTCACAACAAGGTTTGGTGACACCAGACGTTCTTTCTGTCAATATGAGGCTTGATGACACCAGCCTTCCACCCTATCAACACGGCTTTGTGACTCAACCTTCCATCCTCAATACCATTAGTTACAAGCATACAATGTTACTTTCAGGTTTTGTTTTAGGATGTTTCGCTTTTGGATGAATAATTTTGGCACACCCTGTACTTAGAAATTATATAAGTAGTTAATAAAAACATTTTCATTATTAAAAACTTTAATATATAATTATTTCTAGTATATATATACAAAACCTACAAGTAAGCAACTAGAATACATATCGACCATCTTCATGACATCTTTTGCAATACAAATACATTTTTAAGAAAAGAAGGATGTATAATTATAAACTTAAAATCTTTACAACAAATCTAAGTACCTTGCATTAGTTTCCTGGGCCTTGGTACCGGTCTTGATGAAGTTTCCTCAAGCCACTTTGATTCTACAGAAAGTGAGGTCGGAACACTAACAGGTTGGTATCGAGGAAGAGAAGCAATTATATCCTTTCTTTCAACAGATGGAGCTGACACTGTGCTACCAGGAGTTAATTTTCCCATCATGACAGATATCCCATCAACTATCTGTTGAGCTCCACTTTCTGATAAAATATTATAATCATCAACATAACACATTATCTAAAGGGATATTTCCATCCAAAAACATTTATTATTTGTCTGGTTGGTGTAGCTTTCTTGATGACAAGTTCAACTTTAGCAAGTCGTTAGATATTTAAAAACATTATTTGATTTTTTTAAATTAACAAAAAACACTACAAAACAACATGGCTTTCCGAGTGAAAAAAACAAACAAAACTAAACTAAAACGACATACTTTGTATTGCTGGGGTGTTACCAAATCCTGGAAACTTTCCACCAACTCCACTTGTTCCATAACCTTAGAAAGGAACACAATATTTTATATCACTACATGATCTATAATTATATTTCTAGGAACCCATAAGTGAAAGTAAAGTAGAATATGTATTATGTCAATCACACTACATCTTCCATATTCAGTGCCAATGAGATCTTCTGCCCAATACCAGGGCTCACACATCTTATAAAGTAGATGTTTATATCACTACATGATCTATAATTATATTTCTAGGAACCCATAAGTGAAAGTAAAGTATTATGTCAATCACACTACATCTTCCATATTCAGTGCCAATGAGATCTTTTGGCCAATACCAGGGCTCACACATCTGGCTCGAATATGACAGACATAGTAGTGGCTAGTTGCTACATTATCAATTTCCATGGAAAAAAAAACTACTCTGGTGTGAACCAGATTAAGTAAGTTAATTATAATCATCAGTTTTATTAAGTAATCTGCAACTAAGAATTAATAGCACAATATTATTTATCTCATTTCGTTTTTACTATTTACTATTTATTTATTTTTGGTTATTATTATTATTATTATTTGAATTCAATTAACTATCATTCATTAGAAGTAGTGAACCAGCAATTAGTATTTTATATATTTTTCAAACATAACTTAAACTTTTCCCAAACAAGGATTTCTTCTGGCATAATAAATTTATCCAGTGATCAGAAAGTAAAATTTCCTACAACATTTATAATTTTAACCTGAAAATATAACTTTTAACTAAAAGTTACAATAAGTTACGTTTAAGATAAAGTTTGTTTGTTTGTTATGAATTTTGCACAAAGCTACACGAGGGCTATCTGCGCTAGCCGTCCCTAATTTAGCAGTGTAAGACTAGAGGGAAGGCAGCTAGTCATCACCACCTACCACCAACTCTTGGGCTACTCTTTTACCAACGAATAGTGGGATTGACCATCCTATTATAATGCCCCCACAATTGAAAGGGTGGGAATGTTTGGTGTGATGGTGATTCAAACCCACGACACGCAGATTGCGAGTCGAGCTCCCTAACTACCTGGCCATGCCAGGCCTTTAAAGATAAAGACTGCCTCAAGAGCAACACTAGCCACAGTGAATTGTCGACTATTAGATGTAGATAAAAATTGTGAGAATTCAACTGAAAGTCACATTCTTATACAAAGTCAAGAGGTTAAGTATTACTTAAAAATCATCAATAGAATGACTCAATGTAGCTACAATATACAGACATTTTCAACTCAGTATACACACAATTGACAATAGGCCTATCAAGATGTTACACCTAACTCTAAAGTATAATATTTTGCATGCACATTTATTCAAGGATCATATACAACTAATATGGCCCATTCCCTGATCCTATATTACTAATACGGCCCATTCCCTATCCCTACAACCATGATCAAACTTACACTGAGCCATTTCGTGGCTTGTTTGATAGCACTTACCAAGCTGCTATTTAACCACACACTTTAACCCTATTGCTACAGTTCACAGGTCAAAGGCCATGTCATATCGCATTTGTTGATTCACATTCAAAATTTTATTGAACTACTATTTTATGAATGTATGGCAATAAGTTTGGTATCCAATTGTAGATTATAATTCAAATTTTAGTAATAATCCATCAGTAAATTTCTTAATTTAAAAGTAAATATTAAAAAAG